AAGGACAAAATTTACGCGGTACGCGATTCCTACGGAAATCGGCCGCTTTGTATTGGCAAGATCGTTCCAATCACACTCGGCCATGGAAGGCCAGAGGATGCACCTGCCGAGGGTTGGGTTGTGTCGAGTGAAAGCTGCGGCTTCCTCTCGATAGGTGCTCGCTATGTACGAGAAGTGGAGCCAGGTGAAATTGTGGAGCTGACACGTAATGGTTTCCGTACCGTGGATATTGTCGAGCGTCCCGACTACAAGAAGGTGGCATTCTGTATCTTCGAATATGTTTATTTTGCGCGTAGCGATTCCACTTTTGAAGGACAGATGGTGTACTCGGCACGCCTGCAATGTGGTAGACAATTAGCTCTAGAAGCACCAATTGAAGCAGATATTGTTAGCTCTGTACCTGAGTCGGGTACGGCGGCAGCGCATGGCTATGCCAGAGAGGTAAGGGAAACAATTAAAATCAACCAAATTTTTTAAGCTCTAATAACCTTTTTCCTTAGTCTGGTATACCGTTTTCCGAGGTGCTTTGTAAAAATCGCTATGTCGGTCGAACGTTTATCCAGCCTTCCACGCGGCTTCGTCAATTAGGCGTGGCCAAGAAATTTGGTGCACTCTCCGTTAACTGCGAAGGCAAACGAGTGGTTCTGATTGATGACTCAATAGTGCGTGGCAACACCATTGGCCCCATCATTAAGCTATTGCGGGATGCTGGTGCCAAGGAGGTCCATGTTCGTATCGCTAGCCCTCCGCTCATGTACCCCTGCTATATGGGGATCAATATACCAACAAGGGAAGAACTGATTGCAAACAAACTGGAGCCAGACGAGTTAGCTGAGCATGTCGGTAAGTCAATGTGCTCCAGCGACCATGACTTGATTAGTTGATACATATTCTTATTTCTATACTCTTATAGCCGCTGACAGTTTGAAATATCTCAGCGTGGCCGGACTTATTAAAGCTGTCGAAAGAAACAAGGCAAACACAAACCCTATTAAATCCGGATATTGCACAGCATGCCTTACTGGAGAGTATCCAGGTGGTCTGCCTGAGGAACTTAGCTGGTAATTTATAAACACGCAGGAGCAAATATTTTTACGTATTTAAGTATTTGTAGCTTAATTAGGGTTAAAAAACATAGATTTAATTTATTTATACCTCAGTTAAATAATGAAGAAGAATACATTAAAAAAATTTAACACTTTTAAGAAAGCATTAATTGTTATAAATTACATATAATATAAATTCTTATAAACATTTGGAGAAACTAAACTCTAAAAAAAGGATTCATATATCATCGTATATATTATTTCGCGGCGTTCCAAAGAGAGAAGCATTTTTATACTTTACTTTTTTAAGTGAAAAATATGCGTTATGTAAAAACTCTCCCCGTGAAAACGACGGAAGTTGGCTACATATATGCTGTTGTGGTCAGGCCCAAACTCGAGGTCCGTTGGCATGTTTTGGCCAAGAAATCATCTTTTAAGCCGAGCTTGCTCCCATACAGGAGGCTACCGAATGCATAAGGGTAGAGGCAATAGAAAGCAATATCGTCTACATTTTCTCAGACAGTAAAGCAATTCTGAAAGCTTTTGATTCGGTCACTTGCAACTCAGAAACTTTAATAAGTAGCCGCCGATCACCTTCGCAGCCCTGCAAGAGGTTGGCTATGCAGCTCGCTACCTACAAGCGCAGGTCTTTATTTTTCTCCAAATCAGCCGACAGCTGAAACAGCTCGAAATCTTCCCTAAGGAAATGTGTTCTATAAAGCTTTATTAGACAAGCTCTTTTGAAGGTTGCCACCTATCCAAAAGCCGAACCTTAAAGAAATTTCAATGAAGAAAGAATTATCAAATATCCAGCGTACTGCGCTCCGCCTTCAAAGTATTTTTGTACTGTTGCTCGCTATAATTACTCATAAAAAAGAAATAGATCTAAAGAGCTTTATAAAGTAAATGGATATTCATCTAAATGCTTAAATGCCTCGTAAACGCGTAAATTACGTAAATAAATCGGTTTTCCATATAAAATGAAGTAAGTTTACGAGGCTTACGCGGTTATGAGGCATTTACTCGTTTATATGAATACCCCTTGAGATTTTCGGTTTATGAAGCATTTAAATTCTTCTTAATTAGTATAGTAAATGTATTTAGAAAGTAGACAAAATATAAACTTTCTCATGGAAATTCAATTCAACTCAATTTATAATCTTTAACTCGAGTCTAAATATCTCGCACTTTCTTTAATGTCGTATTACTTCAATATTTGCCGTTTTTTATACTGTGCGGAAAAAAATATATATGTACATATATAATACGCGAAGAAATTTTTCGTCCAGGAGCGGTACAGTCGCTCGATTTTCAAAAATGAGATGTCAAACTGAAGCGCTTGTTCTGTAGATTTGCAAACTGGTTTTGGTTTTTCGAAAAGAGTTGCCACTTGTTGTAGTTGTGTTTTTTTTTTTGCATTTCAGCGATGATGTCAGATACGCCCTTTCCATACCATACTAACGATATGTACATATGTATGTATGTAAGTATTAATCATAACATCCTAAGATGTCACATTTATTTTGAAACACCTTTATTAGCCACAATTTGGAGTTTATTACCAGCTTAGACCTGCAGAAAATTCATTTTGTCACTTAAAATATCATAGCTGCCACTTTAAATGCAAATTCGCCAAAGTCATACGACATAATTATCCTGTAACACTCACTGTCACAAGATTACAGTTGCTTCAAGTGTGCTGTCATTACGATATCCTTATTTTTCACCCCAGCTATGACCACATTATCCTTCAGAACGCATTCAGGGCACAGGGCCTTTACGTATGCATCTATTTACATATGTCGATGCATAAGTACATACGTATGTGTGTATGCTTTGTATACGCGTTTATACATGAATTTGTATATGCACAAATATATGACGAAGTAATCACAATTCATTTCTGTGTTTGCTTGCCTTCACTTAACTTCTTTGCTTTGCCAACATTCTTGCCATTTTTAATTCATTCTCCCTTTGTGGTTAGATAAAAAAAAAAAAATTCATTCAATATGTTGGCAATGACACGATAACTTCCAGAAGCTGCGCCAACATTGCGTTGAAGTGGTATGGGGACTATTAAATGAAGTCATAAAAGTGAAGGCGCGTGCAAAAAAATAATAATAATGAAAGAATAAAAAAATTGCAAACAATATTTTGCCGAGTTAAAAAAAAAACAATGAATCCGTGGATTTGGGTGCGGGTGTACAAGCCTCGAAGGAAACAGTGGCACCGTCGAATGGCTAAACATCTAATGGGCGTTTAATACGTGCGCCTGAATGAATCCTTGTGCTGTGAAAGCTTCTCAAACTTATTTGAGTTTTTCGAGGCTGCGCTTAGTTAAGTATGCGTGCATATACAAATACATATGTACAAATGAATGTGCGCCACCGTTTCTACTCCTGAGCAATAATTCACTGTGGTATTTTAATTTTGTGCGCAAAACAGTTGGGCGAAAATTTGGTGGTAATGGAACATTTGAAAAATAAAATAATAGAACAAAATTAGGTAACTTAGTAGTAAATACGAGCAGCCTTTAAACAGCGCTGAGCCATGGAACCATGGGTATTATTAAGACATATAAGTAGTCTTGGTAGTTTTAGCGATGAGCATATGCATCGATCATGTTGGAAAATACCTTTGTGAATATTAGGACCATGAAATGCCTCCACTCGAATGTAAAATTTTCCATGTTTTCTTGCATCATGAACTGATCCAGAATAAACCTTGACAAAGGTTTGAGGAACGAATTTATAGTTATGTACCCTTTTTGCTTGCAGGACCATTGTAGTGTCATGCAAGCAGAGCTAAACGCCATAATGGAGGCGGCTCGGTGGCTCATATCCTCCGCCCCTCCAGAACGGCCTATCGCCATCTATCCTGATGAGGAGCATCGAACATTATCTCTGTCATTGTCTCACCCTGGCCAACACGCGCAACTAATTCTTCAACAAGTACTTGTTTAGCCGACATGAACTCGGCGAACGTCCTCGACTTTTTGTGCTATATGAAACGCACTCGCTGGTTTAATTACTTGGGGCGAGTGAAAGAAACAAATGGCTTCGGCCGGTGGTATTACAACGGGCTTTTCCAGCCTACGTTTGCTCCGCGCTCTGCACGGGGCAGCCACTCTAACCTAACCCTTTCAAACAGCCACGCGGCTAGTCAGCTCCCTCTATTAGGATGATCTTCTTCAAGCTTGTCAAGAAGTGCTTTGCCACTATCCATGACCGCCAAGAGAAAAACGGAGCCAGGTACATATTGTGTGCTGCTATTGTAGACTATGTGAATTTTTTTTGTATAACTCCTCTGTAAACACAGTATTCAGCACTATTTTTTGTACTTAAAAAGGCATTGAGAGCAGTCAGCCATCATGTTACGCCCACGAGAAAAAAAA